TGCGCGGCCGCGCAGCCGCGCACCTTAGGGAACAGTGATCATGGCCCCCGGTTGCTGCGCGGCCCGGTGCCAGGTACTCCACGGCCCGGCACCGGTCCACGAACCGGGGGTTGGGGACCACTGACTTAGATGGTCTTGCTCTCACAGTGATCACAGAATTTGAACTTTCCAAAACAATGTTCAAATGATAGAAAAAAAACCAGGGGATTTAAGATAGAGATAGGAAACTTGGTATCTCCTCAATTTGTTAATTTTACTCCCATCATCTAAATACCAAGGGCTGAAGTACTTTTATCGTATATATATTTAATTAGCCATAACTCATTTCCATAGTCTAGATCAGCGATGGCGAACCTTTTTTGGCTCGCCTGCCATAAGCAGGGGGAGCGCAGGAGGGGGTGCGTGCCGCACCCATAATGTAATGCGCGACCCCCCCCAGCGTGCATGTGCGCATGACAGACACTCCCCCCCATTTTTTGCATGATTTTTTTGCCCTCCCCAGGCTCCAGAGCCTTTATAGGAGCTTGGGGCAGGCGAAAACAGCCTCTCCCTGCTCCCCTGGAGGCCCTCCAGAGGCTTCAGGAGCTTCCCTGAAGCCTCTGGAATGCAAAAAAAAACCACGGCCCTATGGGCAAACCGGAAGTTCGGGAACGGACTTCTGGTTTGCTCGTAGGACCGGTTTAAGTCCTCCGGAGCCTTCAGGGGCCTTCCGGAGACTTCCCTGAAGGCTCTGGAGGATGAAAAACAACACAACGAGCAAACCAGAAGTCACTTCTGGTTTGCTCATAGGGCTGGTTTAAGCCCTCTGGAGCCTTCAGGGGCCTTCCAGAGGTTTCCCTGAAGGCTCCTGAGGATGAAAAACGACCCTATGAGCAAATCGGAAGTTGCGTGCCCTCACAAATGGCTCCGTGTGCCACCTGTGGCACACATGCCACAGGTTCGCCATCCTGGGTCTAGATAGAATTAAGTTAACTTAAAAATTAAAATCATTAGCTCAAAGCTAATGTCAAGTGACATTATACTCTTGCATTCCTGGTGTTAATCTGATTTATTTCTGACACTCTGGTGGTATGTTTAGAGTGTCAATTTTGGATTTACAAAATCAGGTTAAAATGTCTACTTTAGAAGTTCACTGAAGGACTTTGTGTCAATCATTATCGATTGTCTAACTTCCTAAACTGCTAATTAGTTTTGAAAACTAAAAGGGGATGTGTTGGAGATTCAAATATGCCATCTTTGATTACTTGGAGAAATATGTCACAAAAGAAAATATAAGGAAACAAAAGAAGAAAAGATAACCATGAAGTAGCATAATAGTAAGATACAATCTGAAAATTACAGAAAAGAGTTAATCAAAGTCATTCCATTAACTTTTCACAGACTGTCTAATTCTGAGAAGAGGAAAAACACACTTTGTATTAAGTTTTTGCACTTACTTTAGAAAGCTGTACAGGACTTGATTTCTCTTTCTTTCTCTTCTTTTCTTTCTTTTTTTTCATCTTCTCTTTTTTTCTTTTCTGATAAAAAAGAGATACCTGAAAATTTGATTATGTGTAATTGTGTCATTTTATTACTCTTTGCAACCACAATATAGATTTTTTCCCCTTGACAATCTGTCCCTAACCTGATC